TAAGGACTCAATGAGAATTTTAGAAGGCTTGATTAATTTTATTGCGGATTTAATTGCAAGAAAATTTGATTTTCGAAGTCAATTTAGGCTCTAATTTGAAGAAATTAAAGTCCAAGGCCGAATTATAATTTTAAAGAGTAATTTGGTCAAATCAGGAGCTTAATTGTATAAATATTGAAGTTCAATGGGCAGTTAGGAACTTGATTGAAGAAATCTAAAATTGAAAACCAATTGAGAAGGGCTTGTGATTGTAGGGGTAGAAATTAACAAATCAAGTACTAAATTGAATAAAATTGAAAGTTTGATAATCAATTAAGTGTCCAAGTGCATAAATCAAAAATTGAATACCAAGATGAAAATGGCGTGAACTTTGAGGCTGATGATTGAGTTTGACATGGGTGAAATTGCATGAAATTAAGAGTTTAGAAGTCAATTACAAGTGCAATTAAAAGCAATTGAAATAAGGATTAAGAAATTTATCAAATCCCAAATTAAGAACCCTAATTTCTAGGGTTTATCCTGGACAATGCATCGTTCCGTCACTATTTACCTTTTTATTCGATAGTTTTGGTTGATCTAGTAAGCACTTTCAAACAAATAAATATGGTGTTTCCTACCACTTCTAGGTTGTAACCACCATCACTTAACTAAGAAACACCTTGTCTACAAAAATCAACTACTTTAATTACAAGTTTACATCTTATTTTCTTTAAATAACTCAACAACATCTTGTTCCTGATCAGCTGTCATTATATTTTCTTATTCTAAATTGATTGTATTGACATTTTCAAACAAATAAATATAAAGCTTTAGACCTCTAAATTGAGTTAGGATGACTCTAAGTAAAATGTATGCTTTATCAAAATCAAGTGATCTTCGATGACATTTACATCAGAGTTGCTTTGACAAAGACTTAAAAATGGGTAACTCATTCATCGATGATCGTGATACCTATTTCACAATATCACTAATATTATTTGTATGTTCACACTTTAATCGTTATCAATTTGTTCTTATCAAAGCTTCGTCATGTTTTTATCAAGATCAAAAGGCTATAAATAAGCTTTTTAGTCTTCAAGTTTAGAAAACCACCAAAACTTTCAAAAACCAAGTTTCTTGTAAAACCAACATAAGTACATAGATCACAGTTGTAAAATGTCCTCCATAACTCTCTTATTTTGATCAAAGGACTAAAATTTTATCAGTTTATGTTTGAATCCATCAAAAACCCTATAAATACCTTTCTAGAAAATTAGAGAAAAAATGAGAAAAAAAAGAAGAAAGGATTGATAAAAGAACTTTAAGTGTGGAAATTTAAAAGCCTAACATAATGGTTTTTTAAGTTTTGAAAGGGCGATAAGCTTGTGGAGAAAAGACTTTGATAAAGAAAAGCAAAAATGGTAGTAGCTACTCTAGGAGCTTAAAGGTATTACTTTCTAATCTAAAAATGGAGTCTATACGGCTACTCTATGACATGCTTAAAGGTATGTATTTATATCTACAAACATAGAAATAGAGTTTGGAATGCTTAACAAGTAGTGTTGTGGTTGCCCCTTTTGTTACTATGATAGTTTAATTTTGTTTACTGAAACTCTTTTGAATGTTTTTGATGTGGTACAAGTCTTGTATTTAAGTTGTTTCTTCTTGATAAAATAGTTTTGTTTTAATTTAAAGCATGTTGAAGCAATGATGATTATCATGAATTTGCAAGGTTTGTTCATAACCAAAATGAGTTTAAAAGATCAATCTTGAATCTATATTGCATGAACATATAGGTTATTTTAAATCAATAGTTTTTGGATTTGGTATCTCTTGCATTATTTTGATGTTTTAGTGTTGTTTGTTAGTTCATTTCATTCAAATATGCTTAATTATGGTAATATAGTTTGTTATAGAACTAAGAAAGCATTTTTTAGAGGTATAAAAAGCCCATCTTTTAGGTTTGATAACTTAATCTTCATTTCTAGGTTTGTTGGGCAATATTCTTCATGTTTTTAGAAAGAATATTATCTTACCTCTATGATTTAGATCAGTTTTGGTTCAATTCTTTTCTCAGAACCCTTCAAGCAACTTGATTAGTCAATAATCTAGGGTTTATTTGCATCGATAATATGTTTTCAATAAGTTTTAATTCTAGAGTTTGAATTTTAAATTAAAACCTATTTTGATAAAATCATAGTTTTTTTGGTGATAATCAAAATACATGAATGTCAAATTATTAATCCTTACATGATTTACATATATGTGTCCTTGATTTATATATTTCTAGTCTGATTTGAAATTCATATTGCTAGACTCATGTTTAATGTTCTTTGGTGTTCTTTACGTTCTTCATTTTTATGGGTTTTGATCCATTTTGATGAAGAGTTTAAAAGGTTTCTTTTATTTTAGTTTAATTTATTTTAGATTTTTTTTTACATTTTGGTTTGTTTTTCAAGTCAAACCAGTGGATTTTGGTTCGATTTATGGTCAAATCAACCAATTTTAATTATGACTATTTTTCACTATAATATACGAGTTGTGAAAAATACTTTCACTTTCCAGGATAAATAAACCTTATTGGGACACATATATGGATTCGTCTTATAAGGATTTATTTGGGCATATGAACCCATAATAAATTCAAAATGTCAAATTTATTCATAAGCATAAATCTTTATTTGGAGTTATAAACGTTTCATCGGTTAAGAACCCATCAACACCTTTAAACCATATTCAGATATGCACTGCAACTTATCTTAAGTAATGTGCACTAAGAATATTAATGTCTTTTTTAGCTACAACTAATTTCTTACCCTATAGTTTTAGATAAAATCAGTTCACTCAGCCTAGTTCTCCTAATGACTTGAATCAAACAACTAGGTAATGACTCATTGACATCCTGCCACGTTGCACAAGCCACATACAACAATAACAACAATAATGTTATTATTATTAATAAGAATAGTAATAACAACAATAATAATAGTAATAGTAGTAGTAGTAGTAATAATAATAATAATAATTAATAATGATGATGTTAATGATGATAGTAGTAATACTTCTTCTTTCAATATTTTATTTGTTAAGGATTGCGTTTTGCAGTTTTTTCATATATGATATTTCTAGTTTAATGACTTGGTTTAAAAGGTTGAAGTGGGTTGATATTTTTATTTTATTTTATTATTTAATATTAGCAGTTTTTTCATATATGATATTTCTAATTTAATGATTTGGTTTAAAAGGTTGAGGTGGGTTGATATTTTATTATTTAATATTAATTTTTTTAAAAAAAATTAGCTTTGTAATTTTTTAAATATATTTTTAATAAGTTATTTTAATCTCATGATTTAAATTATAGGTTTTGTGGGTTAATTCGAGTTGATTTAACCTTTATTATCAAGATTATATATTTATCACACTATCTTGGTTCAACTCGAGTAAGGATTTGTTGTGTATTTTTTATCCAATAATGTATTTTCAAATATTTTTACTAGATTATCAAGTTTTTTTTTTTTTAAATCATTTATTATAGTTGCCCATTTTTGTTTCATGAAGCTGTTAAAAATTGATCGGGCTATAACTCAAATCTTTTGTTTTTCTTATTTCTTACATTGCGGGCCCATGTATAGTAAAAAAGATTCACTAACCATTTGTGCTGACTTGAACAGTATGTAAGTTGACCTGAGAAAGCAACTACAAGTCTACGACAAAGTAAGGTGAAAAAAAAAGAAAAAAAAAAGAGAGGATGCAATTGGACAATGCAACGTCCTGCTCAGTTCTGATTGGCCAGCAACAATATCAATGTCAAACAAAAGTGAGGCCACCTTGTAATTAATCAGCAAAACCAGGGCAATTTCCCAAATTAGTAAAATCCAACTAGAAGTCGAGTTAATTATCAATTATTCCCTGTATTAAAAAAAAATTAATCAATTGGTCCTCTTGGTTTCCAAAACTGTACACTTAATCCCTATATTATTTTTAAATTTGTTTAAAACTTAGTTATTTCGTCATATTGTATTCTTTTTCCAATTTATTTTTTACCTTTTCTTTATTTAAGAATAAAAAAAAGTAAATAAGATGAAAAAATAAAACATTAAAAAATAAAATAAAATTACATCAAGGATGCTAAATTATAATCAAAAAGTTATTTAATTATTTTTTATACAATATAAATCAATTAATTAGTTTTTGATATGGGATTGGATTATCAGTAGCATAAATTTTAATTTTTTATATTTTTCTTATGACTTATAAATTTTTATAAATATAGACATTCAGACCAATTTATATGTATTTTAACTAATTTTATAGATTTTGAAGTTAACAATTATATAAATTTTATATTCGGACCAATTTATATGTATTTTGACTAATTTTATAGATTTTAAAATTAACAATTATATAAGTTTTTAGTGTCCATCATTTAGCAATCACAAAACTCGAGCTTGAGATCACAAAAAAATCAAATTTTTTTATTTTAAGTTTTTATTATTAGACCACCTACAGTATCATCAAAAAAATTTGAATTGTATCAATTAACATCTTGTTTTATTTTTTTTATTTTTTTATTTTCATTCAAAAACATAAGATAAAATATAACCTATGATTTTATTTAGAAAACTTTACTATGTACGAGATAAAATTTTTAGGAGTTGAATATAAATTATAGTTTAAAATCAATTGGACTCCACCATTAATCAATTATACATAACTTTTTTACCGTGTTTGAGGACAAATTATTTTTCGAAATACTCTTTTTATAAATATATTAAAATAATATATATTTTTTAAAAAGTATTTTTAATATTAATATTTTAAAATAATTAAAAAAACAAAATCATTAGTGAGCCAATAGACCCACGAGCACGACATCCACTGTCCACACCACCTTTCCCACTTAAGACGGCAAGACTAGTAGTAGTCAGACAAATAATAAATGCATGGAATGGCAAAAACGTGAATAAATAGAATATAAAGGGCAGTAATTTGAGGGTCCTTCTATAATTGGAGCTTCGAAGCCTGGGCAGACTACACTGAGCAGCCTTTCCGCAATGACGGACTTTGCATTAGCTATCAGTACTAAAGTTTTGTTATTCCTATGTGTCATTCAGTTCTCAGTTTCAGAGATCATTTTTGAGGAGAGATTTGAAGGTAACTTCTTCTTAATTTCTTGCGACCTTTTTTCACTACTCTGTTTTGCTATGTCACCAGCTAGCATCCAATCCTAATGCTTGCTACGTCTAGCTAACCGTTAAACTCGTTATTCACTGCTTTGTCTTTTCTTTGGGGGTCTTGCATGCTGTCATTGTGAAATAATTTTAGGATTTGAAGTGGGGTTTGGATAATAATGATACCCTTTTTCTTTCATTCTTTCTACTGTAAATTCAAGTTGTGATTTCCTTTGTTGGCGTAAAGTGGTGTTGTTTTAATTTTTTGAAGTACAATGTTCTTTTTCTTTCTTGTTTTCTATTTGGTAGCTGAGAGTTGTTCATGGAAAAGAAAAGAAAAGAAAAGAAAAGAAAATCTGGCATTTGAGGGTGTTGTTTGTTTTGCATCAGTGAATACTTTTCTGGGCAAAAAAATAAAATAAAATAAAAATGAAGTCAACAGGCTATCTGGGTTGACTTCAACTGAAGTGATTGTAAACTGCAGAGTTTAAAAGAACCTCCCCTACTTAATTAAAAGACTTATTTAAGTGTGAGAATAATTTGGTGATTGTTCGTAGTTTAAGATGACCTTGTTATGCAAAGAGTTGGTTAGTATTAATCAGTGTAATTTTGTGTTGGAAAAAGATGGTTGGGAGAGCCGTTGGGTTAAATCGGATTGGAAGAGGAGTGAAGGATTGGCAGGTTCTTTCAAACACAAAGCTGGAAAGTGGCCTGGAGATCCAGATGACAAAGGTATCGTCTTTTCTGCTTTTGGTCATAAGGATTTGATGAATTACATGCCCATTTTGCAAAGTACAAAGCCATTAGAGCACAAAAAAGGGCACTGTGGCAGGAAAAATAATGGACTACTTGTTCTTCTTGCGTGTATTTCACCTATGCTGTTCAGGAACCTTATTGACAAGGTTGTCCTTGAACATTCTAGCAGTTGCTTAAGAATGTATGATGGCATGTCGAATTCAGTTGGTTTCTTAATTGGTGAATCCTTTTATTTCACTATAATCAGTTGTTTGTAGATGATTATTCACCTCTTGGTTTGGATATCTTGTAGGTATTCAGACAACTACTGATGCCAGGTTTTTTGCCATATCTGCAAAGATACCGGAATTCAGCAATAAGAACAGAACACTGGTCTTCCAGTATTCCATAAGGCTTGAGCAGGACATTGAATGTGGTGGTGGTTACATCAAGCTTCTCTCTGGATTCGTGAACCAGAAGAAATTTGGTGGAGACACTCCATACAGGTTTGAATCTTATTGAATTCATTTCACATTATCTATACCTCATGTCTTTTCTCTTTCATCTGAGACATGGATCAAATATCTGTTTGTGGTACTTCATAAGATATCTTCGAGTTCAAGCTGCCCATTTTGCTACATTGCATTGTGAAAAAAAGTTAATTGGATCGATCATTTGGTTGGGCTCCATGTATGATTGCGTTTCAAACCTTCGTTTTTGTAAAAGCTAGAATTACCTGTTTTTTATTCATGAAGACCTGCTTTTCATTTATTTTGAATATATAACAGTTTTAATCAAACATATATTTTTTTTAAACCACAAGAGTTTTTCTTAAACCTTTTTTTTTACCGCAATCGTAAAAGCTATTACAATACCATCGTAAAAGCTATCACAATACCAAACACACACTAATTCTCAATTGTATACTGTGCAAATTGCACACATATCACGAACATTCACTTTACAAAAATATAAATTGTGCAGAAATGTGTTTTGGTAAAATAAGAACTATAAATTCCATACATCTCTAATTTCTCTCAACCATTTACATGGGAAGGAGCACAAATGAATAAGCAAACAAAGAATCAATAACTACAGGGAAGATTATTGTATGGCTTAACATTATGAAGTCAGTGTCAAAATACTTTAGAGCTATTGTAGGTTTGACAGACACCTTCTACTTTTGCATGTATTCTGAAGGTTTTAGTCAACTTTCCTCATGCTCGGAAATGTGTTTTGTTTCCTCTTTTCCTGCCTGTTGGTTTCACTATCATACAAATATGTATTGATATCAAATTTTATTTTCTGCAGTTTTATGTTTGGACCTGATATATGTGGCAGTCAGACAAAGAAGCTGCATGTCATACTATCCTACCAGGGCCAGAATTATCCGATCAGGAAAGATTTGGAATGTGAAACGGACAAGTTAACTCATTTCTACACCTTTATTCTTAGGCCTGATGCAAGTTATAGTATCCTGATTGATGGTCGAGAAAGGGATTCTGGAAGCATGTATGCAGACTGGGATATACTTCCTCCCCGGAAAATTAAAGCTGTCAAGGCAAAAAAGGTTTGATACATAGAGATTCCATGTCCTTAAAGAATTAGAATGTTAAATTGCAATAATATCGGGTTGTCCTCCTCCACCATAGCTAGAAGATTTTGAGGGTATACATCCTGACATATTTCATTCCCATTTTTAACAGCCTGCGGACTGGGATGATAGAGAATATATTGATGATCCTAATGATGTCAAACCTGAGGTATAAAAATTTTATTCTTTCTTTCTTACAGAAGATGTTATTGTAATTGTAGTGAATAGATTACTTAATCCTGTTTTCGGTATCTTGATAATGCAGGGATATGATTCAATTCCAAAAGAGATTCCCGACCCCAATGCAAAACAGGTTAGTGGGTTACTTACGGTTTAATGTCTGGATGAAGTTCGAGGACATGAATGATCCCTGGCCTTTTGATGCTGAGCCATATCTAAAATTGATGTGCTTCACTTAAATAGCGTTTTATTTTTATAGTATGCAGTACTGTTATGGAAAACAGAATATATCAATATAGCTAATAATTTCATGTTGTTTCCCTGATTAGCCTGATGATTGGGATGAAGAGGAGAGTGGTCTATGGAAAGCACCTAAGATACCAAATCCAGCATATAAAGGACCATGGAAACTCAAGGTGTTTTTATTGGCCTTCTAGATGGTAGAAGTCAAAAAGTTTAAATGCATGTTCTCATTGTTAATGACGTTTTCTTATCTACAGAGAATCAAGAACCCAAATTATAAAGGGAAATGGAAGATTCCTTATATTGATAATCCAGGTATTCTTTATGCAGCCTTTCATGGAACGTAAATAACTGTAATGCTTGCCTGAAAACTTACTTCCTCAGAGTTAATTTACCAACAAAGAGTTAGTTATATCTTTCTTTGTAAATGTCACCAGAGTTTGAAGATGACCCTGATCTCTATGTGCTTAAGCCAATAAAATACATTGGCATTGATGTTTGGCAGGTGAGGATTAAGCATCTTTTTTGTTGATTTAGATAAGAGTTTTATCTTTGTGATGCAGCATGTGATTTTTTGTTATTTCTAAGATAAGTTGTAATATTATGTGGTGTCATTGCAGGTGAAGGCTGGCTCAGTTTATGACAATATTCTGGTCTGTGATGATCCAGAGTATGCAAAACAAGTGGCTCAAGAAGTTTTAGCTAACAGGGAGGTGTGTCAGTCTTTGGCCCTTTCTGGAGAACACTGGCTTCTGTTATTGTGGAGTTACATTAAAGATGAGTGGTGGTTAATTTGTGTTTTTCTTTGGTAATTTCAGATTGAAAAGGAGGCCTTTGAAGAAGCAGAAAAAATTAGAAAAGCTCGAGAGGATGAGGTAATTTGCTCATAGCATTACCCGAGCTTCATCAATAAGCTTTTACTGTAATCGAATATTTCCAAGTAATTCGAGAATTTACATGTACAGGAAGCTCAAAGAGCAAGAGAGGAAGGTGAAAGGAGGAGAAGAGAAAGAGGATACGATAGACACTACCGAGATAGACACAGAGATAGATACAAAAGGGTATACATGCTATATGCTCAGATCTTTTTAATCTATGTGCTTAGAATGTTTTCTAGTCATTCAGATTTACTTGTACTTTCTTACAAGAGTAACATCGTCCTGCCTTGCTCGTGAGCAGAACCGTTGTTCCTTTTACTACCTGCATGGCTATGTCGATTAAACTTACTGAAGATGTTCGGCTCTTCCTGGATTTTTATAGTTGTTAAAACCCTCTGAAAAGTACCAGATGTTTGATGTTGATGATTTTTCTGAAACACTCGGTGTATATTGTGTACCTTGTGATGATTGTTGTGTCTAGTTACGAGTGCATGGCTTTATGCATAGATGTTAATTCTGATCAAAATGTTTCATTTTGCGCAGCGTTACTCCCGGGACATGGATGATTATCATGTAAGAATCAATCATGCCTTGAATCTCCCTTTCTCAAGCATATTAAATCAAAATACAAAACACTTCCAATTGACTTGTATCGCTAGATTCCCACATTTTACATAGTTACTTCTGTCAAAACAAATGCTTAGTATACTGAGAATCATTCAGTTATTTCACTCTACTGTCCACATTGCTGGACGACTCCTGGATTTGGAAGTCTGATCATTGCAAGTGTTTCTTTCTTCTTTATGGTCCAATATTATCGGCTCCACATGATTATTTTTATCTGGCATGCAGGATGAGCTTTGAAGAGGCTTTCAAATTGTCAGCTCTCTCTTTGGACAGCGCTATCAACACCTGGGAATGTGAAATAAAGCCACAATTTTACCTTTGGGTGGGGTGGGGTGGGGGCAGCTTTTTCTTTCCTCATTGTTGTATGATTTTCATTTCTGAAGAAATATATATATATCTAGAGATGCTAATTAATTGTTTTGCATCTTCTCAACTCTTTCTCTATTTATTACTCCATTGTGACTGTGTGATAGGTGAAGTCTTTACACAAAGTTGATATCCCACTTGATGCCTTATTTTTACGTGCGAAAATCTTGAGCTTTTAAAAGACTTTCCTTCTACGTTTGTATTTGATTTCACCGACTAGAGGGAGGGCCTTTTCTATTTGCATCAACTGATCTTCTTCTTCGTTCCATTTCTCTAACCTTTTCTTCGTCTTCTGCTTCCCACCATTACTACATCTTCTTTCCTTCCCTCGACGAAAACTAACAGTCACAGACACGCCATTTCTTCTTCCCTCTTTTTCATCATATTCTTCTCACCATTACCGCATCTTCTGAACAACACCCGACAGCCACAACACTCTCTTTATTCTTCCAATTTCTTCATCTTTTCTTTTTTATTGCCGTTACTCTATTTATCTTCATTCTTTCCAGCAGTCGCACGCGCCTTATAAATTACTCAAGCATGTCTTAACAATATGCAGTGAAAACATGAAGGGTAACAAATATGGCTAGAGAGTTGCTGTGAGGATATCATAAACTAAAGCCAGTAAAAACAACTTACTTACTTTAATGATGTGATTAGGAATGGTAATATACGGATTAGATTTTGATATAATTCATGTCCTCATCTAAAACTATAATTTATATCCAAATCAAAATCCAATATATATGGATTTTGGATTCCTAAACCCAATTCACTCGAGTTTTGAATATCTATTTAGATATTCATTATGGATCCACCTCGTATATACAATGATTTAAATATATAAAACATACATTCATTCTAACAAGAAAATAAAGATTAAGTTAGTATCACATAAAAAGTTTTGAAATAAACATCTCAAAATATTAAATTATCTATTTATTATTATAAATACAACTGCAATTTCATTAAAATCAAACCATCATATTAAATTCTCTATTTATTATTATAATTACACCTACAATTCCATTGAAATCAAATCCTCATTTAGCATTCATGGAACTTTAATCTTCCTTTTACATCATAAATGAGTCATTTTACAAGAGAACAATATACATAAATAAATAGTTGGTCATTAATACATAAGTTGTCTTCGTAGAAGTCATAAAAATAATTCATATGTTTTTATCATATAAGTTTCATACCTCTTTCATCTTTATCAATATCATCAAATATGATAACATAATTATCTGAATCCAATCACCCCATCTAAAAATAATATATATATAATAAAAGTTTGAATTTTACTGCAATAAATGGTTAAAATGTATATTAACATAATAATAAAATATGTTTACTAAATTACCTTTAATTTCAACAACTCAATCAATTTTGAGTGCACACCAATGTTTAAGTGGTCTTTGAATGAGTTTGCTATGATGCAAGTTCAATAATTTATTGCTAGCATTAAAAGCATACTCTAAAATAATAATAGATACAACAATAGCTAATAAATATCTATCAATGAATTGCAAGACTGAATATTTTTCTTGAAATGTCAAAGTCATCATTTCTTTGCAAAACCTCTTCATTTAAATAATGATCCAATTCAATTATAGCATATGAATTTTTTCTCTCTTTTCATTTGTATCAAATTGTTATCAAATTCAACCAATGAACTATAACCTAAATCAATAAAGGTATCACTCATATAATATGAATAGTTGAAAACTACCTCTCTTATTCTTTAAAGTATAAAAATTCATCAACTCATAATAAAGGTGGTAAATCTTCTCAAAGATAATCATATGCTCACCATCATATATTCTAAAAAGGTAAAATTCAATCAAAGTCATTTTATATTGTGGATCAAGTATAGTTACAACTCTTATTATCCCATTAAAGGAACACAAATATTTATATAAAAAACAAACTCAATTAAAAAACATATCTACTATTATTTTTATGCTACCTCAATTGAAAAACAAACTCTTTTTAACAATTTCAATCTAATCTAAAAACAAATTAGAAAAGTACAAATTAGTTGTAGGATACTTTATCATAAAAAATAATTCAATGATCTCTTAAAACAACTTCAGTCTATCATAAATTACACTTGAGTAAATGACTCTTATATTAAAAGCCAAATATATCTTTATATATTAAAGCAGTTTTAAGTATTGAATATGTTGCATTGCACTCTATTAGGAAATCAAGACCTAATTTTTTGGTTATAGAAATGCAAACATGATGGGTTGTTTCCTTAAACTTTTCCTCTCTTATTGGTAAAGCTATTTAATAAAGTACACTTTCTCTAATATTTTCAACCATACACTTAATTATTTTTATCACATATTTAACTATTAGATCTAAAATAGAAGCACAACACCACATATGAATAAATTATTATTTAATATCAAATATCTAACTTGTAATTGTCCTTAAACTCAGGTATCAAAGCATCATTAGTTATGTAATTATCCAATGTAATTGTTAATAAGTTAGTATTAACATTCCAATCCATCAAAGAATCAATTAAAACTTTAGCTAACATTTTTTTTAATATAAGAATGGTAAGTAAGCAAACCAAATTAAAATATGATAACAATTATAAACAAAATTATTGCAAAAGCTAATATTAATATATTAAATAAATTTTATCTTAATGTGCAACTTCACAATTTCCACTCATCATCAATAAAGTAAGCAATTGCCACTCTACTAATACTTCTCTCTAACTTCTGCATTGCCCTTTCTTTCTAACAATCATAAACTTTCAAAATGTCAAATATAATGTTTTTTTTTTGTAAACAAAGGTTAGAGGAAATTTGAGTTCCTTTGGAATCTAACATGCTAAACTATGAAAAGTGAGTACTTATGTAAAATAATAACATTTACACACGCTCTCCTAAAACTCTTGATATCTAATCAATTTCTCACTCTCTCTTTATGAAAACTTTTTATCCAACATTTTTATTGTTGTTATGAATCAAGATATTTTCTTCTCTTACAAGTCCTATAATGGTTACACAAATAGCTTGTTCTAGATTTTGATTTTTCACTAAACATCTTAAAATCATAATTATATTATACTTTACAATCCCTGTCAATATATTTCTTTATAAAACTCTCCCACGTGAAACTCTTGTTTTCTAGTATCAATGTTAAGGAATAACATATATTCGTAATGGAAGCAAGGAGTTAATTGGACATTTCTTTCAAGCTCCAAAAATATATATTCATCGGGATTGAAATAGACTATTTTACATGTTAACAAAGGAACCACCAACGATTTGTTTTGACGACACAAGTCAAAACAATTTTTCTCTTGACACGACTAAAAGATTGATGTCTTCTCCCAAGTGTAGGAGTGTCGAAGTAATAAATAACCCGGCAAGACCGGGGTCGAACCACAGGGAGGTTAATTGTACAAATTATAAACAACAATTATAAAACAACAATAACAACAACAACAATAGTAATAATAATAATAACAATAACAATAATAATAATAATAATAATAATAATAATAATAATAATAATAATAATAATAATAATAATAAT